AAATCGCCAATTTTAAAAAAGAGAAAAACGAATACACCTAAACGAGGCCTGGACGCAGGGTAAGAAAGAAAAACAAAATCCATCCTGAAGTGCTCCCTATAAAGTTCCAGGATAGAAACGGTCTGGTAAATGAGGGGAATTGTTTTTAGTCCGAGCAAACCGGGCATACCACTATTGTGACGATATAGTGACAATGCGTTAGGCATTTTTAAACCTTCTCTCCGCAAAAAGAAAAAAAAAAGAATTTATTTTATTATTATTATTATATATTCAATTTTATTATACTATGTATACTAAATTTCTTTAACTGTATATTACATTATGAAGGCAGAGCACATAATTTGTTTTCATATTGTCATTCTCAATGTTTTCTTTTATTTAATTAGAAATTAAATTTTATATAAAAAAATGGTTGAACTTTTATAAACAACAACTACTACCGCTATTGCTTACATATTTTATTTCTATTTTTTTTTATCAAACATTTTATAAATTATTTCTCAATAGATTTTAAGCAATCTGTCTTTTTACTTAATTAGTTACTTTTATGTATACTACAATACTTGTGCTTATAGCATATATAATATATAAATTTATCAATATCAAGAGTCCTTTTTACCCCTTTCAACAATTTAATTGATTAATTAAACCCTTGAATTGTTGCATTCGTAAAAGCAAATCAAATATATGAATAATTTGCAAATATTTAATTTTAATTAATAGGAAAGGAAAAATATTTCCATCAATGGTCATCAATCTTGTTCTATTTACATTCGTAGTAGGTGCACTATCGAAAGGAATCTGAGGAGAGTTCAGAGTTAATTTATCTTTTTCACTTGTTGAATAAAATTCATAGTAAATAAAATTTAACAATTCATTCCGAACCTCATTTTAAACGAGCATACGAGAATTTCATGGGAAACTAATTAATTGAAATCTTTTTGTTGAATTAATGCAATTTATTTTGAGCTCTTGAATTTCAGTTGAAATTGCGGTTATTTGGTAATAAATATTAAACTGCACATATATCACTAGAAACCACTAAAATTTCTCACAACAGATTAAGTATGTGGAACGAAATGTGTGATGGTTGAAATGAAAATATTTTCAACTCGAATTCAAAACAAATGCATTTACATACATAGTTCTCAAGAGGAAATTTGGTTCAGAGACTTGAAGGAGGCAATGGATTTTAATATCAGACATTTAAGGCAACTTTGTGACACTTGTAGATATTTCGTTATAGTACTTAACTTTATTGCAATCTGTAATAAAATACGAAAAGTTGAACAAAATAAATGGACCACTTCAGTAACTTATTTAATCTAAGTAATTTAATGACGTATTTAATGAAAGGAATATTGTTTCAAACTTAAGTGTCTTTCCATTTATTTATTTATAAAATATCAAAATTGTAATTGAAAATTATAGACTAAAGTATTAGTTGCAATAAAATGTATTTAATTTATTAACGTAAGTTGTAATAAATAACTCATTAAATAAAATACTTAAATAATATCATTAAATGCAATAACAAATTATAAATTATTATAAAAATATATTTATAAAAATAGGCGAACATAAAAGTCAAGTACGGCTTTGGGTCAGTTGATTAAGGAGCACTGACTCTGAGCTTCAAATTAGACAGGGCAGAAGTTCGATTCCTAGTACTTGCAGTCTCAAAAAAATTATTTACGAATAATTAAATACAAGAATTATTTCCAAGACCACTGATGATGGGTATTTGGCAATACTTGAAAGAGCTGTATGGTCAGTCAAAAATTTAATCGATCCAAGATTAAACAGTCGAGAATGTATCCAAATGTAAATATTCTGGGTTCTGGATAAATTAAATTTTGTATTGCACATATAAATTGAGAACTAAAACAATAATTTTAATAGAAATTATTTGAAAAACTTTTTATTGATTTAAAATTTCAGTTACAAATCTTTTTCTTGAATTTTTTTAATTAAGTTGGAAACTTCCGAAATATAAACATAGCTTGACAATTAATGAATCCTAAAGACTTGTGAAATGAGTATGCTACAAATTCAAAAGTGCTATCTTAATTGAAGGAAAATAGGTAATACCTTACAAAGGTTTGGTTGGTAAAAATTTCGAATATGTGTGGACTGGATGCTCTCTAAATGTAAGTTATATATTTTGTGACTAGGATACTGCATGCCTAAGAACTTTCCACTGATCTTCTCAAAGCTGTTTTCAACGAGACAGATTCCGTTGTACAAACACAGATATCATAGCCTACTCCACAGAATTTACTCCTAAGCAGTCCTAGTCTTTTGTAAATTCTCACCGTTTCCCATAATTATAATTCACTACGTTCTCACTCCTTGCGTCCCTATGCCCCACCAGGGGAAACAGACACTAAGAAGGAGACGTTTTCAATCCTTCCTTAGATAAATTTGACTCAAATACTCCAATACTTAACTTCTCACATCTTTACTAGTTAATATTACATTCACAGATTAGTGGAATGCGACCTCGATCAGACAGTCTTATGGCTGAGGTCTTCACAACTGGTTCCTAAGAGCTGACTTTAGTGGATTTAAGTGTCATACTGCGGCTTTCGATGCTGTCTACCTACTATGACTTGATCACTTTACATATAATAAGTGTAAAATGTTCATATAAATAAATTGCTGAAACCTTATAATATTTATCTTCGATATATTAAAAATTTGCTTTAAAAATATATTTAGAAAAACATCACTGTTACTACGACGATGCATATGAAGACTATTGTTACTTTGGTAAAGCAAATGTTAATTATTTTTCTATTTTTTATTTTTTTTTTGTATATATTTATGAATTTTCAAATTATTTTTTTTTTATCTCATTTCAGTACTGCGACTTCTTTGAACATCGCAATTTATAAATATTTTAAGTAATTAAGTACGCTATGTTAATTTCTGAAGATTATACAAAGAAATGCATTAATACGCTTTTGCATTTTACTGATAAAAAATTCGCTTAAAAATAGAGCTCAAGCATTGCTTTGAACAAAAAAAAAAAAAATAAAAAACTATATAAAAATAAAAAAAATTAAAAAAAATTTTACTTCAAGTAAACAATCTGAGTTTTCCATAATAAATTTTCATTTATATTATATATTTTTACATGCGAAAAATTTGCATATCAAATACTTCAGTAGCTCGAATTTATAAGATACTATTTTAATTATAATTGCAAAAAATGCAATCTATAAAAATAATTAATTCCCTTCATTATCTGTTACTTATTGTACACGTTTTACTGCACTTGTTTATTATTATCAGTTTTTTTTCTATTATATTTAATAGATATTTTTATACAAAAAGGTAAAGTACATTAGCTTTCACAGACAAAACTGATAAAAAGGGTTTATTTCCAAAATTACAGAAAATATTATTTATCAAAAGTATTTTAACCATTTTTTCCAAATTATTTAAGATATGATAAGACAACTATTCTGATAATATCATTGTTTGTTATGTTTGAAATAAAAACTTATACATAATTAATTGCTGAATGTTATCTTTTAATGACAGCAAATTATATATGCTAATCAATCTGATATGTCGCTATTATTATTATATTTGAATTTTTTTTTTTTTTTGACTCTATTATAATGATATGGAATTCCAAAATAATTAATGATATATATGAAAAAAGAAACGTCATCATTTTGTATTGCTTTAAGCAAGAGTATCAGATACAGATATAAATATTCGACATTAGATTATAACTGTAGTCGTATATGCATATCATATAAAAGCTGTGCTATGAGTATTTTAATTTTTTTAAACTTGTAAAAACTGAAATAGAGTTTTTAATTGTTCTTCTTAACTTGGCAATAAATTAAAAACAAAGTGTATATAAAAAAATGTTTTGAATATAACTACAGTAACAAAAAATCCAAAAGTTATACTTAAGAACTATTTGTCGAAATATGGTAAGCAAAAACATTATTCCGATTAATCACTTCTAGGAACACTGAACATTATTTCTAGAAATTCTTAATCTACACTGTGGTCTTAGTGGGTTAAAGTGGCAATCGGTAGCTTTTCATAATTTCCACTTATTGAAGAACAAAAAACTAGTAACATTCAGACTAAAATTGTTCTTAATATTGTCTCTAAGTGACAGCACTTTTTTATATTTCTGACTCAATACCTTTATGAAATTTTTTAAAATAACTGCCAAATATTTAAAGAAATAGAGCTTCCTAAGAAAAATTTTATAGTAAAAAGATTTACATATTGAAAGAAAAATGCGTTTGTGTAGCACTTTTTTCAATTTAAAAGTTATAGCTGTAAAAGGACACTAAAATTGAATACTTAAATAAGAATATTTTAATATATTGTATTACTAAAACATAGAGTCAGAGATGGATTATTGAAGTATTTTATTATATGTGTATATTGTGAACAATGAAGATGTTCGGAGGTTATGTCCCATCTCCAAACCTATGTACCTTGAATGACACTTAGACATGTGTGTTTTTATTAGAAAGATTAAAAAATAATTTTTGTTAATATGTTAATAATTCCGCAAATACTTAACAATATTAAGTTATTAAATAAAACTATAAAAAACAGCTTATTTTTTTTATTAAATTACATTATTGCTTTGTTATAAGCATTGGTGTTACATTAGTACCCTCGAGATCACAATAAACTAAAGAGGAAATATTGATGTGCATTTTTTAAGTATAATAAAAAAAATTTTGTCAAAAACATATAAATAAAATTTGATCAATAAAACAATAAATTGTGAGAAAACCTGCCAGATA